CCTGAGCCACAAATCCTTTTCAGAGCAGGCTGGAAACCCGTTAGGGTTTAGGGTCTTTTGAAGCCGTAAACCCCTGAACCGAAGCACCAGCCGACCAAGCTCTAATCCCCCTAAGCATAACATGGGAATCCTAGACTCTACATATGCTAAAACGCCTCTGAACTGTCCGGACGCGCCCTTTATCAAAGCTTGGTAGGCAAAAGCTCAAGTTATGACCAGGTAATATCCTGAATTCTCCTATATAGTTGATACAAGAAATAGCGCTACAGTTTGTTGCCTACCTTAGCCAAAGGTTGAAAAGCACCAGCGGGCTCCAACGACCATCGGAATCCATGTGACGACCGACACGGGGCGCGGGAAGGCTTCGCGGACTATTCGTTCAGGGGCCATAGTGTCCCTTAAGTAGCTAGAATTTGGAATTCACCAAAATCAAAATAAGATTCGCATATACCCCATTTTCTACCTACGTGCGGAGGATTATATAGGTTTTGGGTTTATGCATTAGGGTATAAGGCGCCACGAGGGTCCAAATGGCTAAATGCGTTTGATATTAACATTCTTCCCAAGGTCCCCATGCAAGGACTCACAAAACAGAGTAGGTTTTCAGAATGGGCTTGTCATGTGTTTATTGTGATCCATCATTGCTTCCTAAACTCTCCTGAGAATGCAGCTGGGGTTGTTTCAATATGGTCTTCTTTTCTACCCTATAAATTCTACACCCTACTACGACCGATGATGAACAACTGGTCCCAAGAGCTTGGTTTTCCGGGCTTGGGTCCTTTGCTTAGGTCTGGGGCTTACGGCTTAGAGTGACCGTCGCTTCCATCCTATACAGCCTTTCTTGTACCCTTCAGCCTCAATCCCCCCCCGACGCTCCCACCCCCACCTATTCCGCGTACGGGAGCTTCTCAAAATGCGGAAGGCTGCGGGTGTCTTAGGTCATGCGGCCATGTGGGGATGATGCATGGTTTAGGTTTTAGGGCAACGTTTCGGGTTTGGGGCAATGGGTTGAAGGCACAGTTTTGATTTATGTTATGTATGACAACATGCTAAACCTTGAAGCCTACTTAGACCCTTAGCCTAAGGCTCAAAACAGTCCAAGAAGCCTTTGATATTATGGTCTTGGGGCCCAAGAGGCTCTTTTTGGGTCCTGAAAGCCATGGGGCTAGGAATAGATTTGGCCCGTAGTTAACCCTAAGCCCTACATGCTACACTCTAAGTCCTACTTAAAACCTTAGGGATCGAATTGAAGGGTCCTAAACCCTGAGCCCTAAACCCTAAACCCTAAACCCTTAACCCTAAACCCTAAACCCTAAACCTCATCCGTAGGGCAAGGGCGGCATGGAGTCGGCTGCACGTCAGCAGTTCCTGAGTCGCAGCATGAGGTTGACCCTGAAAAGGGTTGAGGGCTTAGGGTCTAGGATTCAGGGTTTAGGGTTTAGGGTTTAGGGTCTAGGATTCAGGGGTTTTAGAGTTTAGGGTTTGAGGGTTTTGGGTTGAGGGTTTAGGGTTGAGGATTTTGGGATTGGGTTCAGGGTTTAGTATTAGAGTCTAGGATTCAGGGTTTCAGGGTTTTAGGGTTTAGGGTGTTGGGGTTGATGGTCTTAGGGTTTAGGGCTAGGGTTCCCCACGTATCTAGGGCGCTCGAACATACTATTTGCTTCTGATACGAAGCTTCGTGCATGACCCTGGTCTACTAGAATTCCATAATTTCCAACGAGGTGCTCAGGGTCATGCAGGACTTTTAGTATCCACCAGATCGCCTCTCCAAGAGTTGAAAATCATCCCCGTCCCCTAATATTCAGCACTCCCTGGAAAACACCCTGTGTATTCGGGATGGCATGTTGAATCGCACAGGGTGAGCGCTGCTGCATATTGGGGAGGGGTTCGTGATTCCAACATGAGCCTACTATGTTAAGGGTGCCCATACTTAGAGCTGTTTTTGAAGCATGTGCACATGAGCATCCTCAGTTATTGCATAGCTACCCAACACAGCCTCCATTTTTCTCCGTGTTGAGGTACCTAGCCTTCCAGGATACCCAAACCCTACACATACTTTTTCATCAAGGAAATCAATCTAACACCTAAGCCCAACGCTAAAGCTCCCGAACTACGGTAAGCCCCATAGCTCAAGAGATCTACAGAGGTGCTGACTGAACCTTTGAAGTTTCATGGATAGTCCTCGGTTTAGGGTTGAGTGCTTAGGGCTTTGTTGTGATGGTCCGTTGGACTAATCAGTTTCCCCTTCCCGATTCAGACTCACGTAGAGTAAGGCAAAATGGCTACATCACAAGCACTGAATGTCCTACAATCTCTCCGACCTACGATAAGTACTATGCAGAACAGCCATGTCTCGTAATATGCCTACCGACTTGAGACCCTAACCCCTGCAGGATAGAGATATACATATTTACATATAGAAATCCATCTTTGCACAGCCCCTGGCCCCATATTCTCCGCTATTACTCTAAACCCTGAATCCCTAAACCCTAGCACGGGTTTAGGGCTTCTGGGTTTAGGGTTTATAGGCTTTAGGCTTTAGGGTCTATGATTTAGGGTTTAGGATTTAGGATTTAGGGTTTAGGATTTAGAGTTTAGGATTTCGGGTTTTTAGGATTTAGGCTTTAGGTTGAGTACTGCCCCCCCTCACTAACAGTTGGATAATAGATATAGTATGGTTATATATAGCCCTTAATAGGACCCCTAATATAGACTGTTACTGGGTGGGGGCCGTACCCAAGGTTTAGGG